TCTGACAGTTAGGCTAGCGTTAGCAGACACCACACATTGAGGTAAACATCAGTTTACGTAAGTAATTTTTAGGTCACATGAGAAGATGAAGTCTCAGTTGATCTATTGTGATCACCTTTTTGGCCGTCGGCTGTCGATCGTGAATTACAGTAGAGTTTCGGAGGGTCCTGGGTTCGAAAAATGTTCAACATGGAAACATATAGTATATAATATGTATTTCTTATCCACAAGTTTCACTGTTTGAGATTAATAGAATCTTCCCTTACCTTGAGCAGAAATCTCCTACCCGTGGGGTGATGTTTCAAACAAAGCATCCCGAGGGTTGGAGATTTCTCTGTTACACCCTCAAGGTAAGGCCAGTGGATGATTATTATGCTATTATTTCAGTATCAACTCTTATTTCATGACGTCACAATTGAACACATGCTAATCGGCACTTATATAATAACCTAACGAACTCTCGGGCACGCAAAAACCTCCCAGGACACTCCAAGGACTCATTACTCCAGGACACTCATTAGGGCGGTCACACTAATTTGCGCCATAGGAGATATAACGCCATAGGTGCGCCATAGGAGTTTTTGCACGCCATAGCAAAATGTAAGTGTTATATCCACAAAATATTTCGAATTTTCCATTGGTATACTCATTTAACATGTTTTGGTAAAGTATCATTTAAAAAAAATGTGTACTTTGTTAGAAAATCGATCTTGATTACGAAGCACTTTTACACTAATTAGCGCCAAACATGTTTTTTCCCGCCATAGCTAAATATAAGAATTATTTTCAGCAATTAACTGTGTTTTTCCTTTGGTATATGCAATATACAGGTTTTGGTAAAGTTTCATTCTTAAAAAATGTTTATTTTGTTAGTAAATCATTAGGGTGACCCATCTCCCCCTAGGGGGTGACAATCGGATCTTTCCCGGCTAAAATAGAAGACACACCTGTGAAGGGTGGGAGAAAATTAAAGCTGATCTTTCCCGGCTAAAACGGGAGACACACCTGTGAAGGGTGGGAGAAAACCTTCCCTCTTACCCTGGACAGGTGTATTCAAACTTTTACTGGTGTGAGATTTCCTTGTCTCACCCTAGGGTTGAGACGGGGGGATTCCCCTTTTCATAACAATGGCATGACGTCACTTCAACAATACAATGACGTCACTGTAACAATCCGCCAACGTCACGTCAACCCTGAATTTAGCATGTAACGTTATCATTATATTGTGTATATGATACACATTGGGAAAACAGGGTAAGAGAAAAAGAATCATTCACCCCCTTGTGAGTAAGATAGGGGAATCTCAACCCTCGGGGAAAGATTCTTGAGTTGCCAAACACTTGGCAAAGCCTCGTGTTTGGCAACATAAGAATCTTCCCCCTCGGGGACGAGAGATTCTATTAGTCTCACACTAGGTCAGCAATACATATGACATCACGTCAGCGATACAATGAGGTCACGTCAAAAATGCACAAACGTCATATCAACCTTGCATTTATAATTAGCCTGTTACGTTAACATTACATTATGTATATGATACACAATGGGTGAACAGGGCAAGAGAAAAAGAATTATTCACCCCATTGAGGAGAGATTGGGAATATCAACACTCGAGGAAAGATTCTTAAGTTGCCAAACATGAGGCGTTGCTGAGTGTTTGGTAACTTAAGAATATCCCCCGAGGGTTTAGATTATTAAATCTACACTGTTTCTGTAAAATGCGTATATGTTTTTACACTTTTTTAGTCTGATCTTGTCCATGGACTTGTGACTCCGTGATGCCATTTTGGAGAAAGAAAACCATCCCTGATCCTTGTCAAAAGCAAGCATGTGACATCCAGACTTGCTTGCAAGGTAATCACACAAAACTACCATAATGAATTTTGATTTGTGTAGGGATATAAAAAATAATAATCCATCATGGTTGTAGCTCACCTGGTCCGAAGGACCATGGTGAGCTTATGCCATACCGCAACTTTTCCTTTAAAACGCTATTAGTCATGAATGACTGAGCAGATTTTGACCAAATTTGGTCAGAAGTATCCTTATGGGAAGGGGATTTTTTTTGTATAAATGATGGGTGTGGCCCCCCTTGGGGATGAGGGGCGGGGCCCAATAGGGGAAACATAGCAAATTCTTTAAAATCCTTCTTCTTCTGTAGGAATGAAAGGATTTGTTCCATATTTGGTCTGAATCATCCTTGATTAAAGGGGGAACAATTTTGTATAAACCGTGGGTCTGGCCCCCAAGGGGCCTGAGACGCGTGGCAAAATAGGGGAAACATAGAAAATTATTTAAAATCCTTCTTCTTCTGTAGGAATAAAAAGGATTTGTTCCATATTTGGTCTGAAGCATCCTTGGGTGAAGGGGAACCAATTTTGTATAAACAGTGGGTCTGGCCTCCCAGGGGGCCGAGGGGCGGGGCCAAATAGGGGAAACATAGCAAATTCTTTAAAATCCTTCTTATTCTGTAGGAACGAAAGGATTTGTTCCATATTTGGTCTGAAGCATTCTTGGGTGAAGGGGAACCAATTTTGTATAAACCGTGGGTCTGGCCCCCTAGGGGCCTGAGGGGCGGGGCCAAATAGGGGAAACATAGCAAATTCTTTAAAATCCTTCTTATTCTGTAGGAACGAAAGGATTTGTTCCATATTTGGTCTGAAGCATCCTCGGGTAAAGGGGGAACAATTTTGAATTAACCGTGGGTCTGGCCCCCTAAGGGCCTGAGGGGGAGGGCCAAATAGGGGAAACATAGCAAATTCTTTAAAATCCTTCTTATTCTGTAGGAACGAAAGGATTTGTTCCATATTTGGTCTGAAGCATCCTTGGGTAAAGGGGGAACAATTTTGAATTAACCGTGGGTCTGGCCCCCTAAGGGCCTGAGGGGTAGGGCCAAATAGGGGAAACATAGCAAATTCTTTAAAATCCTTCTTCTTCTTTAGGAATGAAAGGATTTGTTCCATATTTGGTCTGAAGCATTCTTGGGTGAAGGGGAACCAATTTTGTATAAACCGTGGGTCTGGCCCCCTAGGGGCCTGAGGGGCGGGGCCAAATAGGGGAAACATAGCAAAATATTCTTAAAAATCCTTCTTCTTCTTCTGTAGGAATGAAAGGATTTGGTTTATATTTGGTCTGAAGCATCCTTGGGTAAACGGTTGGTGTGGCCCCTCTGGGACCTGAAGGGCGGGGCCCAATAGGGGAAATATAGGTAAAACCTTTATAACCCTTCTTCTACCATAGGGATTAAGGGATTTTATCCTAATTTAGTCTGGAGCATCCTTGGGCCAAGGGAACTCAATTTTGTATAAGCAGTGGGTGTGGTCTCACAGGGGGCAGAAGGGGGGGACACAATAGGAGAAATAGAGGTAAAACCTTTAAAATCCTTCTCTGACCATCAGGATTAAGAGATTTTATTCTTCTTTAGTCTGGAGCATCCTTGGGTCAAGGGGACTCAATTTTGTATAATTGGTGGGTATGACCCCCCCTAGGGGCAGAGGGATGGGGCTCTGTTTGAAGTTTGTTCTTGCTCTAAGTGCTGGATGGATCTTTCTGAAATTTCATATGTACTTACAGCACCTACCATGGAGTGCTATATCTTTACTTCTTACCAATTATTTTAAACATATTCAGGTGAGCGATACAGGCCCTCTGGGCCTCTTGTTTTTATTATTTAATAATTTTAATGTTCTACACTTTTTTTTCAAAATAACAGCTACAATGTATTATCCTTTTTCCATTGAAGCTAAAAACTACGATGAATCTGCTTGTCGCAAGTTTATAGAAGCTCTAGAAAAATGTTGTGAGCGGAATGTGGGACGAGAATCAGTATGTTGTGATGGCATAAAGACTCCAGATACAAAATCTTAGAAGTGATCCGGATGACAACATGTGTATTGGACAAAATGTCTCCCATCAAATAGATGCCAAATTTACTCTGTAAACAGAAAAAAAAAAAAACTTAGGTGTTGATTTGACACTTGTTACCAAAGAAAGATTCTGCAGTTGTGAAGTTTCTTAAACAATTGGACTGATAATGGTTTTGTTACTTGGATTATTGAAATACAGGTTGGGTATTGATGATTTATTTATAATAAAATACAAATGGATATTCCATTATTTGAACTTTTCCTAGCAATCATTAAATCATTGACTAGGATGATGATGTGAAGCAAGAGGGGAACACTGCTTCCAAGGGAGGTCACTCCCTTACAACTCTGAAATATTTCATATCAAAATAGGCAGCAAGCAGTTAAGTTATTGGTTCAAAATAATATGCTGGAATCTGTTAAGTGTATAAACGGCAATTTCTTAGTTGGCTGTGATACCTTTGTAACACAAGCTTGATGTATCATGTCATTTTCTAATGTTCTTAAAGGGGCTGGTTGGGGAAAAAATTACAAAATAAATGGGTCTAAATGCGATCTCTGGCCTTCCAAAAGTTATACCACGGCAATATGATGGTCGAGTTCTACTTGCAATGTCCAGTTTTGAGCACTGAAATCTCAGGGAAGCCCCGCGTAAATTTAGTGCAGATCTATTTATGTATGCCACGTGGTTGTTTCGAAAGTGAGGCAGTGAAGATAACAACAATAGCACGCAGTCTATCAGCCATGTCGGACTCAACTAGCAGACAAGACAGCAATACTATACGTAAATAATTGTTTTCAAAGGTCATGTATGATGCAAGTGTAGTATTCCTACCTATATGTTGTTATTATATATAACGGTATTGATACCTCGTGCCTGTCATGACTTTTGCATGCATCTTTTTCTTTCGCCGCGATGTTTACATTTGGCCTTGTTGATGATGCGCATGCGGTAAAATTACATCACTGATCTGGGTCAATTGAGAGTTTTAGAATGTCAGGTGACGATTTAGGATTTCTTTAATATAATTATAATTTTACTCTTAGAGAGTGAATTTCAGCAAAATTTGAATCGGTATATTTCATAAGAAGGTATTTTAAACATGTGTATGCCATTTTAGCAAATATGACATTTTTCCCCCGACCAGCCCCTTCAAATAAAAACAAAGGGGTTTGTTTTTGGTTTTATATCTTTGTCAACACATGGCACAACCTGATGATGATAGGGTCTATGTAAGGCCTAGCTGTTATGAGGTGAAGCATATAAATCTAAATCAACCACTCTAACTTGTCATCCGGCCATCCTTGATATTCCAGGGGTTATGCTTACTTTTTGCTCTTTGCACCTCTGGTATGTCAAATCAGCCACTCTTTTGATAGAGGAAATTCCCTCTGTGCAAAACTAAAAGGAGACTACCTGTCATACTAATGCCCCCTATTTTTAAATGTCTTTAATTGCATTGAAACACCACAGCAAACCAAGCTCCTTTTCACCATACAATCACAATTAATTTGTAACAGGAAAGTAAAAAAAAACTTCACGCCTGAGTGCATTCCGGGTTTGGTCCTCGTCCGCGATACAGGTCCTCACGACCTCTTGTTAAATGTTTACAAGCAATATTTCAGGGATCCAATTAGCTGAACCTTCAGGTGTTAATACAGGCCTTGACGTTATTTTGTAAGGACGTGCCAGAAAGCAAAGTAAATCACTAGGTACGTCCCAATGTCATTCACAGCGTTTGAAACGCGATTTTCACCACAGAATAAGAATTACTCGATGTACATTAATGTAGGTCAGGTTTCGCTTTTAAAACGAGGTAAATCGGAAGTCAAGTGTTATCTTTAGGAAATTCTTCCGACACCAAACAAAAATGTGTCGCTCTAAGCTATTGAAGATAAAAAAAAGATAGAAACAACGGATGTTAAAATGTGTGTAGGTCTACAGTGCAGTATTTCGCTACTTAGGCTACAAGTTTATAAATAAGAATCGGTGTTCGCACCTAGGACACTACTTACCGGCTGTCACAAAATGACTTGTACCGTTACGCATCTACTATAAATCAGAGACATATAAAGCCAATAAATGTACATTATGTACTCGGTGTCTTATTATTATAAGGTTTAGTTATGACACTACTACGCAGGTATTTCGGTATCATGGTATTATTCCAAAATCGCGTCCCCATGGCTGCTGCCTACAAGCTTGCGGTACAAGGCCATTTGACAACCGGAAGAACTGGATTTGGCGGGACTTGCCAACACCGTTCTGTGCGTTCATTTTTAACAGATATTGTAAACAATCAAGCAAGGCTCTGTGCGATGAAGAGAGGTGCTTTGATCGTGTTTGAAGGAGGAGACCACAGCGGGAAAACGACACAATGCACCAAACTCATACATGCATTTGAATCGGCAGGAGAGAAGGTTAAGTTGTTCAAATTCCCAGGTAAGTTTTCCACCGATATGACCACATCAGCGATTTTTACTTACACTGTACATTGCATACATTGCAACGTCACTGAACTTCATGTATAATACTTCAAGCAATTTGTCAAGGATGTAAACGCGATAAATGAGTTTCTGCACCGCCCCCCCCCCTCCCTCAACTAATTCACCCTATATGATAACAACAACAGATTAATATTGTGCAAAACTTTTTTTTTTCAATAAAGAAAAAGAATATATTCTTCGAAAGCTAGCATAATCCCAAAGTGCCAAATAACAGCTGACCCCAAAATAGATAAATTAAGAATTTACTTGTTTCCATACAAGTCATTGAGAAATTACTTTTAGAGGCATGCATGGGGGCATTTAACCCACCTGGAATTTTGAATTTAAAAACCTGCTGAATACCATGCCAGTTTATCAAAGGGTAACATGAATTACGAGCTCTTGTGGTTGCTAAGACACGAAGGAAATTAATGTATTCTTTGAATTCATGCTTAGCAATTTAGATATTTATTGATTAGGGATCTCAACTGTATTAATGTTATGAGCCAGAGAACTAGTCCCCAGGGTGAGTAGCATGAATGTCTTCGCCTCTTTATGCCTATAGTTATTCTGTACCATTGCTCAGATTTCAGACGTGTACATGCAAACCAAATCTTAGGCAATGTATGCACTGATTGTATTGGTCTGATGACTTGTAATCAGTAATGTTTGTTGTCTCTTAAACAAAGTTTTCCACCACCAGGAGGTCTGACGTGGTTGAATCATTTGAACAAGTCTAAACCAATTGAGGGATTAAGGCCCATCGGTCGCTAAAGTCTTTTGCCATTTTAAACAAACCAGATGTTCCATTCTTGCACCTCAGACAGAGATGTCCCCTGTCATACCCTGTGCTTGATTAATAGAATCTTACCTGGGTCTGTTCTGTGAACAGGGTTATCTCAACCTGAGTGTAAGAGTTTGGCTGGTCAGCACGAGGCTTGCCGAGTGCTGACCAGCCAAACTCGTACATGAGGGTTGAGATATCCCTGTCTATGGAACAGACCCATGTTTGATTATTTTTATCACATATATTACATACAAATAAATTCCAGGTGGAATTAACATCGATCTGATTCCTCTGCCCTAGGGTTGAGAAGGAGGATTTTCCATTCACCACAATTTTGGAGCCTCAGACAGCAGACCGAATACTTGAAGTCTGAAGTGAAATTATTTAGCTCACCTGCCCAAAGGGCAAGTGAGCTTTTAAATGTCATGGCGCGGCATCTGTCATTCATTCGTCTGTCGACCGTTAACTTTTCCTTTGAATGAATGAACAGGCCTAGAGTCATGATATATGGCAGAAAGCTTCGTTGGTAAGAGCCCACCAAAGTTTGAGAACGATGACATTGACCTACTTTCAAGGTAACAGGGGTCAAACTCAAATGTGGCAAAAACTGCAAACAGCTTCTTCTGAAAAATTGAAAGGCATAAAATCGTGATATAAGTAGCTTCCTCAGATCGAGCCCAACAAAGTTTGTGAATGAAAATGACCTTTGCCTACTTTCAAGGTCAAAGGGATCAAATATGTTAACATATTTAAATGACATCTCAAAAACTAAAAACCTAAAAGATGATGATATTTTGGATTAAGGAGTTTTTCAGCTGAATGACTTTGTTAGACTTTCAAGGTCACTGTGGTAAAATGTGTTGAATAACAAAGAGTCATAGGTAATGATTTTGATCCTATAGCTTTATCTAAATCCAAATTGTTGCACTCAGTGTCCTTGGCCCAATATGATTCATTGTTGTATAAACCATGCCTCCAACCCAATGGGGACAGAGGGATGGGACCCAATATTATGTAAGGGTGTTGCGAGCCAATTTTTGGAAATATTTGTAGTACTGTATAAGATTTAATGAGAATATTTTGCTATGACTAGTTAAATATGCAGGTGAGCGATACAGGCCCTCTGGGCCTCTTGTTTTGAACTAAAAGGTGCGAGAGACAGATTATATAACCTGTAACTGGGCGAAATCGGGTTATGTCAGTCTTGGGCTAAGATTCTGTAACATCCCAATTAACCTCAGCTAACACCTTCTGTTACGGAATCTTAGTCCTCAACTGAGATAACCTGATCTCGCTCAGTTTCAGGTATTTAGATTATATTATTCTATCAATATATATGACAAACATCATAGAGTGGGGCTTCCCACTAATTTTGCACACTGTATTTCAGACAGGACCTCCACCATTGGACAGATGATAAACAACTACCTGGGCAGCAAATGTGAAATAGAGGATCATTCCGTTCATCTTCTCTTTTCTGCCAACAGATGGGAAAAACAGTGAGCTTTATAATTGTTTATAACTTAAACCATTTTTAGGAACAATAGCATGCTGGGATGAAGGGCTACCAAGTTTGTTCAAATGAGTGACCTTTGCCCATTTTCAAGGTCACAGGGGTCAAATATGTTAATATGTTATAACAACTTCTTCTGAATAACCAGAAGGCCCAGGGTGATGATATTTGACCAGGGGCATGCTGGGATAAAGGGGTACCAAGGTTTTTCAATTAAATGACCTTGACTTATATTCAAGGTCACAGGGGTCAACTATGTTAAAAACTTAAAAACTTAAAACAATTTCTTCTGAACAACCAAAAAACACAGGGTGATGATATTTGACCAGGGACATGCTGGGATAAAAGGCTACCAAGTTTGTTCAATTGGATGACCTTTACTTATGTTCAAGGCCACAGGGGTCAGCTATGTTAAAATCTTTCATGCCCCCTTAATATACCACTTGACTGCCAATCACACGACTGTTACACAGGAAGCATACATGCCCCCTTAATATACCACTTGACTGCCAATCACATGACTTTTATTCTGGAAACTTGTATCTCGGAAACGACATATTGCCCTACATCCATGGTTTGTCATCCTACGTCCATGGTCTGTCAATAAGATGGCTGTCAGGCAGCAATCTTGGATTAATACTTTACTTTAAAACAAATATACAATTTAACTTGATACTTTACTGCGATAATCGTAATACAATTCAGCCGATGGTCATACTTGTACTCCAATGATCATGTTATATTTATAAATACATTACAGGCCACGCATGATGGAACTTTTGGAATCTGGAACCACTTTAATTGTGGATAGGTACGCATTCTCAGGTGTCGCCTTCACGGCTGCTAAGCCAGTAAGTATAAATTTATCATTATCATTTATGTTTACTTTTATTGATCAGTTTTGTATGAAGTTGAAGGTTCTTCTCCTTAAGTCTGAAAGAGTTCACTATAGCATTGAAAAGGAAATGTCCCTGTCACATTTGATGGAGGAGCATAAGTATTGGCCTTTTCCATTGTTCTGTTTATATGGATATTGGTAAGCTTAGCTTTTACTGTTAAATCCTCGGGTCGTACAAGTACTGTCCCATTAAATATTGTATAGATGGAGGGTGTGGCCCCTTTGGCAGAGGGGCGGGGCTGAATATGGGATATAGAAGAAATTGTTTTAAAACTTTTCTCATTTGATACAAATGGAGGGATTTTAACCAATTCAGATATGTCCTAAACATTCCCTTAATTGTGCAGGGCTTTGCCATTGAGTGGTGTAAGCAGCCTGATATCGGTCTCCCAAGGCCAGACCTGGTGTGTTTTCTCACACTGGACACTGAAGCAGCTGCAAAGAGGGGCACGTTTGGAGGAGAACGGTATGAACGGACAGATTTCCAAAAGAAGGTTATGAACAATTTTGAGAAACTTAAGGACTCCACATGGAAGGTGAGTCTCTCACAGCTTCAAAGCCATCATTACTGGATAATGTGGTGTAAGGGATCCCCGTTTCTGTTACTCTACATTAGTATTTCTGTTTAGCTTACCTGGCCTGAGTGTTGTGTTAGGGATCCCCTTTTCTGTTACTCTACATTAGTATTTCTGTTTAGCCCACCTGGCCTGAGTGTTGTGTTAGGGATCCCGGTTTCTGTTACTCTACATTAGTATTTCTGTTTAGCTTACCTGGCCTGAGTGTTGTGTTAGGGATCCCCTTTTCTGTTACTCTACATTAGTATTTCTGTTTAGCCCACCTGGCCTGAGTGTTGTGTTAGGGATCCCGGTTTCTGTTACTCTACATTAGTATTTCTGTTTATCTCACCTGGCCTGAGTGTTGTGTTAGGGATCCCGGTTTCTGTTACTCTACATTAGTATTTCTGTTTATCTCACCTGGCCTGAGTTTTGTGTTAGGGATCCCCGTTTCTGTTACTCTTCATTAGTATTTCTGTTTAGCTCACCTGGCCTGAGCGTTGTGTTAGGGATCCCCGTTTCTGTTACTCTTCATTAGTATTTCTGTTTAGCTCACCTGGCCTCAGTGTTGTGTTAGGGATCCCCGTTTCTGTTAATCTACATTAGTATTTCTGTTTAGCTCACCTGGCCCGAGTGTTGTGTTAGGGATCCCCGTTTCTGTTCCTCTACATTAGTATTTCTGTTTAGCTCACCTGGACTGAGTGTTGTGTTAGGGATCCCCGTTTCTGTTCCTCTACATTAGTATTTCTGTTTAGCTCACCTGGACTGAGTGTTGTGTTAGGGATCCCCGTTTCTGTTCCTCTACATTAGTATTTCTGTTTAGCTCACCTGGACTGAGTGTTGTGTTAGGGATCCCCGTTTCTGTTCCTCTACATTAGTATTTCTGTTTAGCTCACCTGGCCTGAGTGTTGTGTTAGGGATCCCCGTTTCTGTTACTCATCATTAGTATTTCTGTTTAGCTCACCTGGCCTGAATGTTGTGTTAGGGATACCTGTTTCTGTTATATTACTCTGCATTAGTATTTCTGTTTATCTCACCTGGCCTGAGTGTTGTGTTAGGGATCCCCGTTTCTGTTACTCTACATTAGTATTTCTGTTTAGCTCACCTGGCCAGAGTGTTGTGTTAGGGATCCCGGTTTCTGTTACTCTACATTAGTATTTCTGTTTAGCTCACCTGGCCTGAATGTTGTGTTAGGGATCCCTGTTTCTGTTATATTACTCTGCATTAGTATTTCTGTTTATATCACCTGGCGTGAGTGTTGTGTTAGGGATCCCCGTTTCTGTTACTCTACATTAGTATTTCTGTTTTGCTCACCTGGCCTGAATGTTGTGTTAGGGATCCCCGTTTCTGTTACTCTACATTAGTGTTTCTGTTTAGCTCACCTGGCCTGAGTGTTGTGTTAGGGATCCCCCGTTTCTGTTACTCTACATTAGTATTTCTGTTTAGCTCACCTGGCCTGAATGTTTCATGGTGTGGAGGTCCCATGTTGCCTCTTATGTTGGTTTATTTTAAACAATGGCTAATGGAACTTCAAATTGCTGTCGTTAAGATTGGAAATAATGGCTTTAATTTGCAAAATTGATTTTTGAAACACCAATCTGATCTGTCTCAACGAGTCTATAGCAGCAATATGATATCTTGTTCTTGATCTTGTAAAGTTTTTGTGATTATTCAGTTCTGACAAGTGACTGGTGTATTTTTTTCTATGTACAACTGTTAGTCAACAAACTGACCACACTTTAGCTTGGACTTTGTACTCTTTATGTAAGAAAAATGTATTTCATTTTCTTCTACACTCTGTACACTGCAAATTACCTTTGTGCAATATTATTTTGTTTTATACAGGAAATTGATGCTGACAAAAGCATTGATGATTTGCACAAAGAAATCTTAGACCTGGCTACAACAACGATGGCGTCAGTGGCTCAGAATCCGATAGAAAAACTGTGGATGCCGGATGACACAGAAACGAAGTGTAAAATGTAGGAACTAGCAAAACAAAGGAATCGACAACTGTCACAAAACAATGCATTTATCTTAACAAACATCGCTTTAGAATTAATTTAATTTCAGCCTTTTGAGGTCGACACCGATATCAACATTCTTTTCCACTGTACACTTAGCATTTCTATCACTTCAAACCACTAAGATTGTTAAGGTATTTGTATGGTCTGATTTGCCTTGTTCGATCATCTAAGTAAAAATGGGAGAGTATCCATCTTAGAAGGTTTTTTTAGGGGGGAAGGATGGGTGTGTGTGTGGGGAGGGGAGGGCACTTTTTATTTTAGATCAACCACATCATGACATCTCTTTCCTATATCTATATCTATATGTATAATATTAGTAAGTGTACTATCATAAACAAATTCTAGTAGGATGGGGATGCAATCATATTCATGTCAACAATATGTCAGCGATTTTTTTTAATTTTTAACATATTTTTCAAAATTCACAGAATGCAATCATTATTACTCTCTGCTATGTGTGATGAACACTTCCTTGATGGACAAAAACACCGCATTTTTTTTTCATGCATTTAACGCCACATTTGAGAAAAGGAATGAGGGAGATATCCCTCACTCAAGGTTTCAGAGGTGGACGCCTATGGAGTTAATTGTATTGAAACTCATTTTCTATCTTTCGTGCAAACTTGAAAAGCTATCCGAAGCATAGCATGTAGATCAGTAGGCCTATTCACACAAAAATACACCATTTTGCCACAGTATAATATAAGTAACGTGCTTTCCTGTGATATTAAATCTTGTCAATTACTGTAAATGTGTTGGTCATTGACCAATAGTAGAAAGTGCCTTTATAGAATTGCATTTGTTCATGTATATATATAAATATTATATAAAGTGAAGAATCTCCTAGAAGAGATGAAAGTACTAAAGACTGGTTGTTAAGAATTTTTCTTTATATAATATTTATTCGTCCGTAAGGATCATTTTTCTGATTTATAATATATATATATATATGTGTGTGATTTGTAGAAAACTTTTATAATGTATAATGTACAAGTATTAACACAACAACAACTTTTCAAAAGTCGTTATTGTGTTAATACTTGTGCATTATATCTATTCATGCTTGCCAACTCTCTTTATTTAGGAGGGAGACTCAAGATTTTGGACCCTTATGTTTAGCAGTTAGAAAGAAGATATCAAAATTTATCATGTGAAGGGTTATATACACACATTTTATTGATGTTGGAATGAATTTTGAGCATGTAGAATCTCTCCTTATTGAAATTTCAAAAAGTTGGCAAGTTGGCAATGCTGTAAATGATAAATACAAAAGTGTTTGTATGTACCAAATTACCTGTTTGTAGGGGTCGTGTCATGTTTGTAAGTGTTAAGTTAAGGGAAATAAGATGCCGAAGATTATGTAACAAAAATTGAAGGCCTAAATATTGTGTTCATGTCAATCATATATCATTATCAACAATCTGTCTTTAAACAGAATTTTAATGAGAACAAATATCTACTGTTTGCCGGGAAATGTTTGCCTTTGGTGGTAAAATCTGTATTTCATTCCTGTGTATATGATGTTGTTTAACAAATATGTGTTGTAATGATAAATTCCTCGCCCTCATCACGGAGGGTAAAGAAGGCGAACATCGAATTGCAGCAAACATTTCCCGGTATACAGTATTATAATGATATAAGACCATGGTGTGCTTGATACTTTATTTACATTCATGTATATATGTAATTTTTTGTTGTTAATTGATATTAATAAAATGGTAATTAGTTACCAGTATACAGAATTTGCAAGTTTTGTCTTATAATTTGCTCTATTTAAGACAAGAGGTAAAAAGGATATTGCCTCCATTATCAGCTGTAAAATATTCTTGAAAAAGAAAGTTACTGGGTAGTTCTTGGCGTATTATTAAACAAGCAAACATATCACCCCAGTGAAAATACCCAGCTTCATAGTATCTCATTTCTCTGGGCTAGGTTCAAGGATAAAATGCAGTACCTAAGCTAATTTGATAATCATAATGGTTGGAACACAAAAGGCTGAGGGGCCTTAATATCTCTTTATAATATTTATTTTATTTTCAATTTATAACCAGCTGAATACCATACCAGTTTATCAAAAGAGTACAAAAAGTACAAGCTGCTAGAAATCCTCCTTGCAGCTTGTAATTTTTGTACTCCTTTGACAACCCTCTGCCCCCAGGGAGGGGGGGGGGGGGGCACACTCCATGTTTTATAAAGAAAATTGAGTCGCCTTTGTTTGAGGAATGTGTGGCTCCCAGGGGAGAGAGGGACAGGCCTAATAGGGAAAATTGAGGTAAATTGAGGGATTTCATCCCCACCCTTATATACAATTGTTAGGCATGAAGTCAGGAAAACATTCATGCTACCAGGATTAGCTTGCAGGTCCAGACCAACTCTTGGGCACAAACTCCTCGGGGTCATAACATGGAAACAGTTGAGCAGCGGGGTGGGTCCAATAGGGAGAAATGGAGGTCAATCTTTAAAATCTTTCTCCTTCTGTAGGAATTTAAATTCAGTATGTTTTAATCTCTGAGCAAAGTGGACTCAATTTTGTGTAAATGAAGGGTGCAGATTTTTTCCAATGCACATGCGTAGATGCCCTACCATGGCATCAAAATAGCGTTGCTATGCAGAAATAGCCAAAATATGGTGCGTTTGTACAGTAGCTTGCAGAAATGAAAGCCTCCGCACGTGACAAACAAACACTCCTTTCTACGAATGAACACTTGTAGGATAATGATTAAGCATGTTAAATATTTATTTGTTGCATGCTGAGGCTTTCAAAAATTGAAAAATGTTTAGTTAACAAGTACTAATTGTAATGGGGGACCATAACAGAAGTCCCCCAAACTGCCCCCATAGTCGCAAAGATACATCAGAAAAGGATTGCAATGCCTTTATACACCTAAATACTAAATTTGAGTGAAATCCAACAATTTCTAAACCGCGACCAATTAGAAGCCTCTGTGTATATGGCAGCCATTATGTCTAATAAGACAAGAGGCCCAATGGGCCTGCATCGCTCACCTGTTATTAGGTCACCTGAGACAAAGTCTCAAGTGACCTATTGCGATCGCCTTTTGTCCGTCGTCCGTCGTGCGTCCGTAAACAATTTACATTTTCGACTTCTTCTCCAAAACCCCTGAACCAATTTCAATGAAATTTTGCAGGGACCTTCCATGGACAAAGGTCAACAAAAATAGTTGCCGGTTTAGTCCTAAGCCCCCAGGGGCCTGAGGGGCGGGGCCAAAAAGGGTTAAATTGACTAAAATTTCAAAAATCTTCTTCTCCAAAACCCCTGAACCAATT